TTCTAGTCATATATTTTTTCTACAACAAAGCGCAACTGTAATTTCCTACGCATAAAACCCTCAAGAGAAATTGTAAATTACTTTATTTTTCTTAACTCCCCGAGAACACGCGAGATCAACCTCGATAGGACTAGCAAAAATCGTAAAATCCTTTATTCTCAGAGCTCTTCCTAGAAGACGCTTGATATCAACATCGATAGGAGTTAAGAAAAATCGTAAATTATGTCACAAGTTGCTAGCGTTGCAAAAATTTCCAGACAAAGGAAAAGCCCGCCCTTTTGGGGTATAAATACGAGGCCCTCGGAAGCGCACAGCGTCAGTAGTAATCTCCACCATCACCGTGCCAGTAGTCCGAGGCGATAAGCCCGAGTCTACTGTCCGGCCTCTCTTGTTCGCGCAGTCACCTCTTTGGTCGACAGTCAGTTGTCCGAGGCATCGCCCGAGTCAACTGGCCAAGATCTGGTGGTCGATTAAAATCAGTGCCTCGAAGTCCACCAGGACCATCCTCGATCGACCGTGCGCCTCCGAGGCTTCGTTGAAGTCCACCAGGACCATCCTCGATCGACCGTGCGCCTCCGAGGCTTCGTTGAAGTCCACCAGGACCATCCTCGATCGACCGTGCGCCTCCGAGGCTTCGTTGAAGTCCACCAGGACCATCCTCGATCGACCGTGCGCCTCCGAGGCTTCGTTGAAGTCCACCAGGACCATCCTCGATCGACCGTGCGCCTCCGAGGCTTCGTTGAAGTCCACTAGGACCATCCTCGATCGACCGTGCGCCTCCGAGGCTTCGTTGAAGTCCACCAGGACCATCCTCGATCGACCGTGCGCCTCCGAGGCTTCGTTGAAGTCCACTAGGACCATCCTCGATCGACCGTCCTCCTCCGATTTGTACAAGTAAGACATTTGCGTTCCCTTCCTTACCCTTTCACCTTCCTCAAGGAGTATATGCGTAGTAAATATTGTGCACGCAAACTCCAATCTTAATTTTTCCACATTCTCCACTCAACACCACCCTTAAATTTTAGTGCGCACTCAGGGTGCCTCTAAAGAGCCTCGCCGAAGAGGCCCCTACATTAAGAAGCGTAAGAGTCTGCGGCCCCGTCAACTGTTCGCTACGCCGCTTCTCCCTCTAGACGCTACGCCGCTTCAACCCGTAGACGTTACATCGCGTCCGACAGTCATTGTTACGCCTCCCTCTGCTCAGCCCGCCACGGACACACGTACACTTACACCGACACTCGTACAGTATCCGGAACCTTCCTACTCCCCCGTTGACTCCTCGGAGTTTCCCCTTAACCTCACCAAATTCCCGCTTCTAACTCCCCTCGATTCCCCCTCGATTTCCCCTCTCCCAATGCACGAGAGATTTCCTCCCCTTTCCCTGGACGAGATTCCCACTCCTCCATTCGTAGAACCCCATTCACCTTCCCCCGTCACCACCTCCTCTTTCGATGAACAAATTCTTTCTCCTCCCGTCACCACTTCCTCTTTTCCCGAACAATCTCTTCCTCCTCCCGTCACCACTTCCTCTTTTCCCGAACACTCTCATCCTCCTCCCGTCACCACTTCCTCTTTTCCCGAACACTCTCTTCCTCCTCCCGTCACCACCTCCTTCCTCCCACAGACTTATCTTCCTCCCTTTACCTCTTCCTTCCCCCCACAAACTTCTCTTCCTCCCGTAACCACCCCCTTTCCCCCACAGCCTTCTCTTCCTCCCTTTACCTCTTCCTTCACCCCACAAACTTCTCTTCCTCCCCCCGTCACCAGCTCCTTCCCTGGGCAGACGGTTCCTCCCCCTGATCTCGCCGATCTCATCTCACAACATGAGATCATCGTATACATTCCCGGGATCCCCATCCCCTTTCTCGTTCGTATGAACGCTATCCGACCCGCAGTCCCCTGTTCCTGCCAAAGGCACTTCTCTTAACTCCTCTCCCGTCCCACTCTTACATACACACACACACACACACGCGCCTGCGATATTTTGTAATTTTATTTACCAACCATTGACTCTATCTAACCAACCTATATTATATAGTTTTTATATGGATTATCAAATTATTAGAGTCATAAGATTTGACATATTTTATTAATATTTTAAATTTTAAATTTAATTAATTTGTAATTCTTATTTTTACCAATAACTTTATTAATTTGAAATTTTGTATTCATTGTAATGCTTATTTATATTGTTATAGTCATTAATAAATCCATAAGAAGTTTAATTTTAAAATGCAAAACCCGTTTTAACTTAATTTCTTAAACCCTTCCTCGTATTCCCTCATCCATTCCCGTTAGATCGCACAGGTCCACTCCCAGGTAAAAGGGATTAAGTTCCCTGACCTAAATTAAAGGACCAACGATCGTGACCGCTCTCGGAAAAAGACGTCATAGTGTCTCTTCGAGACACTGACCCATTTTCCGGAGCATTTAAAGGTACGATCGACTCGCAGGACACTCCACGGTGTGTACCTGCGAGAGCCCGAACTCGGTGACGCTCCTCCGATGCCCCTTCCGAAATTTGGGGATCGAGCGTGACCGAATATCGGGCAGAGTTCGTTGCGCCCTTCCGCAGCTCCTCCCGAAATCGGAGCTTGGACGTAACATTTGCAATAATTTTGAACATGTTGCTAAAGATTGTCGAGCTAGGATAGGGCAAAGTGTGGCACCTTCCAGCTCATTATTCTGTCGTTACTGTAAGGGACAAGGGCATCTCCTCGAAGGTTGTGAATTACGCCTCGCTAGCAATAAAATAAGGGAAATAAACGAACAGGGAAACTCCGACGGCTCCTTGAAACCGGGTGTGCAACAGGGGCCCGAGCGAGCCTCACACCCGTCGACATCGAAAAAGGCCCAATAAGCAAAAACGCTTCAGAAATACGTCCTGTAACGGTGACCCTCGATAAGCATAGTCGCGTGCCTACCGTTCAGATAAATTTTTGCAAATCTTCGCCACCCGTAACTTTTATGTTAGATACCGGTTCTGGGCCGAATATAATTAAAGAAGATTTCGTGCCCAAAAATAGTATTGTTAATTATAATAATATTTTAAAATTAAACGGCATAAATATCCTGTCTATACGCTTGGAGAAATAAATTTACCCCTTTTTCAAGAAGATATTATTTTTCATATTGTGTCAAACGATTTCCCAATTTCGCAATCCGGTATATTAGGTAACGATTTTTTCAGACAAACTTCGTCAAATATAGATTACGCAAAGGGATATTTAAATATTTTAGGAATTAATGTACCTTTCTTTTCACCAGAAATCATCATCGCACCTCCACGATCTGAATCTTTATTTTTTGTAAGAGTAGGAAATCCTGAGATAAAAATAGGATACGTGCCGAGATTGAAAATAGCCCACGGAATCTATCTAGCAGACACGATAGTAGAGAACGTCTCTGGAAAAGCATACCTGAATATTATAAGTACGTTAGACGAAGAGGTTGAAGTGCAAGTGCCTACCTTACGTCTCAATCCATTGAATGAATTATTTGGCGCTAAAGAAGAAACTACGAATAAAGTTTGCGACGCAATCCTTATGGAAAATAATGAGGAAAACAGGAATGAAGAAGATGAATCATTAATTAAAACAAAGATGGTAATTAAAATATTATTCAAAATGAAGATGAAAATGAAATTAAAAATGAAATTGAAAAAGAAAATTCGAGAGGTAATAAAAATATTATTCAAAATGAAAATGAAAATAAAATTAAAAAGGAAATTGAAAATGAAATCTTGAGAGATAATGAAAATCTAATTAAAAATCCCGATCGAGAGGAAGGCTTCCGTGCCTTCTCCAAGGCTCTAGACTCCCAAATCCTTGGAAGGGGACGTTACCAAACCCTTCCTGAAAATTTAAATAATCCTAGAATTGCAGAGAAAAGTTTCTGCACTTCCCTGTTAAATTCTACTCCTGTCGATTGGAAGGAGGGAAGTTACCAAACATCACTATCCAATGCGACTCAATCTTCTTTAAAGGGATCAAAAGAAAAGGCTCTCTCTCTCAAAGAAATCAGATTTCCAAAAATTGGAATATCTACAAATAATAATAATGATAATAAAATCTCTCATGTTACTAATGAAAAACTCCAAGAAGGAGAACAATTTTGTAATTCAAACATTAAAACAAATTATAATTGCAAAAGAAAAAATAAACCATCTTCAAAAGTTCTTGCGTCGATCCAAATCAAATCCCAAGATATTATTGATAAATTTATGCGCAAACGAAAATCAAAACATAAAATAAAGAAAAATTACCAGAATGAAAATGTGAACGACTCTTCACACAAGTGCCTACATCAGGCCTCGGCAAGAAATGCAACTTTCGGCCGTTTTTCGAATCGACTCCGCCTACCGCTGTCTCCCTTACCTCACCACCCGCGCGCAATCCAAATGCCGCGCGACACTTAGGAGCGTACTAGACGCTCATAGACGTAAGGAGCATTCGTTCGGGGCGCTCGATACGCTGTAATCTTCATTCTATCTTTTTTTTCGCACATTACATACGAAACTAATAGTGAATTCGGTTGAACATATACTAGTGCATATTAGTGCACATTAAAGCCGTTATAAACAGATTTAATCCGTGTAAAAGTAAAATGCAAATATTCGAATTACAAAATACAGATTTTACATAACGGCACAATAACATCTATTGCAGATCTCATGGTTTAATTCCGTTTTTATATTTATATTAAACATACATTTTTATAATTTCAATTTGTGTACGATTTTAATGTGCGTCAGTGCGCACTGAGTGCAGATCCAATCGAATTCGCTGTAAGATAGAACGACGCAACGTGTGAGCACTAAAAGCGAATACATCCAATGAATTTTCAAATAGATTTCCACATCACCCTTGAGGTACTATTGTTGACGCGTTTTTTTTTAAGTGGTATCCCCAGTAGGCCTAGTCCACTGATAAAAATGATGAATTGTACGACCATTTAAATTTTTAGTAATTGAACAAAATAACAGATCGAATTAAGAAAATTCAATACGATTTTCGGAATCTTTTACGGGCGAAAGCAGAAACGTCGATTTTCATATTACTCGTAGCGATCCGTATAAGACGAGGTAAAGAATTATCACTCAAGGAAGAACGTCTTTCATTTTTTATTAATTTCATTTTGGAAAATGATGTCTCACATAAATATGTGGATCCAAACATAGAATGAATTCGAAGTCCGAAATCTCGAAGCTTGGGATATGATGATTCTTTCAACATTTTGTAAAAATCGACACCAGTTTCTTTAATCGTTTTAAGCGAAATATCGTTCTGTAAATCAAATAATTCATCCTGCAAATCAAGATGCTGTTCTTCAATTGGAGCTGTAAGGGGATTCTCGAAAAGAATTAATTCGGTTTTAAGTTTCTCGAAACAAGTAAACCGCTTATCGAATTCGTCTATTAGAGAATCTAGAAAATGAGTATATTCTTTGAAATTACAAACATTGCCATGTTCTTCGAGAATAATCTGACATGAGGGAAAAAAGTGAAATATATTATCATTTAAGTGAGATTTCAATGCCTGTAATTTTCTTCGAAAAGAATTAACATGACTGACTAACTGGGAAATATTTTGATTCATCTTTTGCAGCTTTAAATTGAGAAACCTAAGTTGATTACTTATATCAGTAATAAAAGCGAGTTCAGTAAGAAATGTGACATCTTCCAAAAGGGATATATATTCATGAAATTTTGATTTGTTCATTTCTTTTAGAAAAAGAAGAATCTCTTTTCTTATTGTGAAAAATACTTGTAAACATTTTGCAGCACTAAGCCAACGAACTGGACAATGAAGTGGGACATCTGTGTAAACAGCTTTATGTTCGTCAAGAAATAATTTAAATTTTCGGTGAGTCAGAAATTTGTGTCCACCTTTAATTTCATTGATTATTTTAGTGATAGTCTCCATAGCTGTTGAAAGTTTTACAACTTTACCGGCTAATGCTTCCTGATGTATTATGCAATGTATAATGGGGATATTTAAATTTCGCTGTTTTAATTGGCCAGCAAATCCTATCTTTGAACCTGTCATCGCTTTCGCACCGTCAGTTGTAATCGAAGAACATTTACTAAAATCTATGTTAAACTTTTTAAGAGTTTCTTCAACTGCCAAAAA